GGCTCCTGATGTGACATAACAGGAGATATACCACAACACCAATGAGGTATTTCTGCCAAAAGGATTGAATCTAACCTTAATCAAGCCTTGGCTATACCTAACTACCAGGTTACTGGAAAGATGAATGTATTAAGTGGCATCACAAGGCTGCAATCATCCAAATCTGGAATGTGGGAAATACTACAAAACAAAAGACCTAGTTTCTTCAACTAATGGGTGATATGGAAAAGAGGGGAAATAATTACAGATGAAAAGATATTTAAGAAGCATAACCACCACATAAAGAGATACAAATATTTTTTTAAATGTGCAGACCTTGGTCTGATTTCAAAATCCAACTACCAAAACACATTTTTAAGCAGTTTAAATTGGGCATTACACCTGTAATCCCAGAATTTTGGGAGGCTGAGGTGGGAAGATCACTGGAGCCAAGAAGTTCAAAACAAGCCTGGTAACATAGCAAGACCTCACCTCTTGCTGTGTTACAAAATATAAACAAGTTATCCAGGCATGGTGGAACATGTATGTCATCCCAGCTACTCGGGAGGCTGAGGCAAAAGAATCACCTGAGCCCAAGAGGTCTAAGCTGTGGTGAGCTGTGATCATGCCACTGTACTCCAGCTTGGGTGATAGAGTGAAACTCCAACTCAAAAAAAAAAAAGAAAAATAGGACATGGACAGGCTATTTAATATGAAGGAGTTACTGGTAATTATATTGGTCATGATAATGTTTTTAAGTCCCCATCTATTAGACATAATATTAATACAGTTGATTTTCAACAAGGTACCAAGGTAACTCAATGGAGAGAAGGTAATCTTTTTAACAAATGGTGCTGGAATAATTGGAATCCATGTGTGAAACAGGAGCATTAGCCCCTTCCTCACACTACTTACAAAAATTTACTGGAAAATGGAGCTAAAGGTACGAGTTTAAGCTATTAAATTTGTAGAAGAAAACATAGGAAAAAATCTTTGTAACTTTGGGTTAGGCAAAGTTTTCTTAGATGCAACACCAAAAGTATGATCCATAAAGGAAAAAATTGATAAACTAGACTTCAGGAAAATTTTAAACTTTTGCTCTTTGAATGACAGTGTTAAGACAATGAAAAGGAAAACCACAGATTGGGACAAAGTATTTTTAAAACCTATATATGCCAAAGAAGTTGTATCCAGGAAGTAAAAAGAATCTTTAGTACATAATAATTAAAAGAAAAACAACTCAAGTTTGAAAGTGGGCAAAAAATATGAAAAGACATCTCACCAAAGAATATACATAGATGGCAAATAAACATAGAAAAATGATCAACATCATTAGCCACTAGAGAAATGAAAGTTAAAGCCAAATTATATAATAATACACATCTACTAGGATAGCTAAAATTTAAAAGACTGCCGATGCTAGAGCTAGCAAAGATGAGAAACAACTGAAATCTCACATACTGCTAGTGAAAATGCAAACTAGTACTTCAGAAAACTTTAGCCACTTTAGAAAATAACTTGGAAGTTTCATATAAAGTGAAACATACCCATCATATGACCCAGCAATTCCACCTCTTGGGTATTTAGCCAGGAGAAATGAATGCATATATCCACATAAGAACCTATATGCTAACGCTCACGGTAGCCTTATTCATAATACAGTAGTCCCCCCCATCCACAGGGGATATGCTCCAAGACCACAGTGGATATCTAAAACCTGAGATAGTAGCAAACCCTATATATTATGGTTTTTCCTATACATACTTACCTATGATAAAATTAATTTGTAAATTAAGCAGAGTAAGAGATTAACAACAATAACTTGCAATAAAATAATTATAACAATATACTTTAATAAAAGTTATGTTAATGTGCTCACTCTCTCAAAATATTTTACTGTGTGTAATATTTTTGGATCACTTTTGAAACTGCAGAAAGCGAAACCCTGGATAAGGGGAGACTACTGCATTCAGAAACCAGAAACAATTCAAATTTTCAACAAGTAAATGGATAAACAAGACACAATCATACCATCACGTTATGTAAGAAAAAAGAATGAACTGATATAGACAGCAACATGAATGAATATAAAAAGCATAATGCTTAGTGAGTCAATCACAAGTATGTACACACTGTACAACTCCCTATATATGACATTCATAAAAGGGCAAAAATACAGGGACAGAAAACAGATTGGTAGTTGCCAGAGGCTAAAGATTGATGAAGTGAATCGACTACAGAGGGGCAAAAGGAAACTTTTTAGGATGATGGGGATATTCTATGTAATTGTGGTGGTGGTGGTGGTGATATGACTGTACACAATTGTCAGAACTCAGCAAACTATAAACTTTAAAGGGGTGAATTTAATACCATACATGTGAACAGTTTCTGAAAAAAATTATTTTTAAAAATATTTTTCTGTTCCTCTCTCACCCTAGTGATACAGAAAATATTTCTATATTATTTCATTTACTATATAACTACAAATTTTCTTTTTTTTTTGAGTTGGAGTCTCACTCTGTCACCCAGACTGGGGTGCAGTGGCCCCTCCCAGCCACCGCAGCCTCGACCTTCTGGGCTCCAGCGATCCTGCCACCTCAGCCTTCCAAGTAGCTGGAATTACAGGCATGTGCTACCACGCCCAGCTGATTTTTTGATTTATTGTAGAGATGAGGTCTCGCCAAGTTGCCCAGGCAGATCTCAAACCCTCCGGCTCAGGCAATCCACTCACCTCAGCCTCCCAAAGCGCAGGATTACAGGCTGAGCCATCGAGCCCGGCTATATCTAAAAATTTTTACTGATATTCATTGGCTCTATAAGCTCTTTGAGTCCATCTCTCTCTAGGTTCCCTCAAAAGTCAATTTTTCTTAAACGTCTTGACCACTCTGAAATATCACTCAATTTACATAACTTGATGCCTAAGCCCTAAATAAGTTTTTACTAGTATTTCATTCCCAGGTTTCAAACCTATGTATCCAAGTTATCGTCAACGTCATCTTGTGCATCAGTTATGTGTTATCTATTTGATTTATAATTTGTTCTGGCAAGACCTCTAAGTTAACCCACATGTGTTTACAGTACAAGACAACAAAAACAAAAACTTTGAGCTTGTAAAGTCATTTCTTATTCATCTTATTTTCAACGATGAAATAAAAAAGAGTCAAATGATTGTCTCTGATTCATCGTGTTAATATGGGAAGATATCACTGAAGATATTTAGCAAAATTTTAACTACTACCCCCTTGTCTGTTTTCAACACTACTGTGTGACAGCACGAGTTTCTAAGCTTGTTCACTTACACAAGCCCAGTTTAGTACAGTACATGGCACAAGGCACAGTCTTCAACACAGTAGGTGTTTTGTGAGAATTTAAAGATCAAAGTACATTATGAAGTACTGTCTCTGAATTCCTCCTCTTACCCAATAATATTTTTTACTAGTTAGTTTGATACAGTTAATTTTGACCTAACAGAAGCTGAAGTTCAAGGTAAATTTATTGCTAGATTAAAACAAGTGGAAAAAAATAAATGAAAGTAGCTAATTTCACTTACAACAGTCTATTGGAAAAAACAGTAAGGACTAGTATTCATGGATTCATACAAAACTGCTAAAAATATCTATTTTAAACATTGCCTTTATCATGTCTGTTCTAATATGTAGGTAATTTGTTGTTTCCAAAAAACTCAGCCTCTTTAATCCTCCTTCTGAATTGAGTAATGAACAAAATTTTTTTCTGAAAATTTGGGGCTAGTCTGTGTGGCCATACCACCCTGTATGCTTCCAATCTCATCTGAAAACTCGGGGTCACATTTATGCCCATTATATATCAATATGTGGGTTAAAATGGCCCATTTTTTTCCACCAAAACACAAGTGACATTTAAAGCGTATTTAATATTCACAATTCAACATACTACTCCTTACTACTCCAGGCTGTAACCTGAGGTAATGGAGGTGGCTGGTTTGCATGAAATTCTACCATAAGATTTCTGAAACCCTATATTTTTCTCTCCCATCAATCCATAAATACACCAGTGTCATAAAACCATAGTTGAGAACTGCTGCATTTTTGGGTCTTATTGCTGTTCTGTTTTATATCCCCACACTTGTTTTTCTTTCTTCTTTCACACCACATTTAATTTACCCCAACTTGAATTTTATGTAGCATAGTAAGTCACCCTAAATCCTTTCTAGAACAAGGCAAAGGATAAATAAATAATCATTCCATGTATCTGCAAAAGTAATCTCTTCTCGTTTACCCTAGATAACCCCTTAAACCTTAAAAATTTAACTCCTTGTTGCCTCTTGACTATTAAATAGATAAGTAGAAAAATCTATTAGTCTCTTATTTTTTGCTTTATTAATTCTGTTTTAAAATATTTAAGCCTGCACATAAAAAATACAGAAAAAAAATCCATGTGCAATTTAAGTGTAGAAATCCATAACATAAATTAAATTGTTTGCACAAATAAAGAATCTGCTTGCTGTACAGCATTTACGTCTAAAGAATGTAAAGCTTCCAATGCCTTGCATACAATTACTCAAATAGTAATAGATCAGTTACACAGTAGGAATTTTTAAATGCTCTGATGTAAGCTACTATAGCTTGGGCATTGGCACATGAGAATTTGTTTTAGTGCTATTTTTAAAACCACTTATAAACACTCCAAATAGCAGAATTGAGCCTCTGCTCAATTGAGTCTGCATGAGCTGTTGTGAAAGAAAAAAGTGTAAGAGAATCACATTTTTATCTAAATCTGAAATGCCTGCTAATACACTTGAAAAAGTAGACATTGAAAATTGGAACTTTCATAACGTAGTCTAGAGTTTAGTGTTATTAAAAGGAAAATTAGTTATAAAAGCAATAAATGCACAATATAGTAGTTTCTATTCATCCCATTTTATAGAAATAATGTTCTTTCGTTTCCCCCAAAGTTAACCAACCAAGAAACAGATAATCTATAATTATTAGGATTTGCCTTATAGCAAAGTTTGATTTTTAAAAGTTTGACACTCCACTCACCTACTGCAGGACAGAGTATTGCCCATATACAGATACTAAACCAATTGTTTAAGCAATTTCTTGTATTTAGAAATTCAGTGCCACTATTATGGCTCACAATTTAGCTTATGATGCATCTGTAAGAAAACAGCCTGACAAGCACCCTAGTGTATTTCAGTATGACTGACAGGACATAGTGGCTCAAGCAAGAAGGGGGGATGGGTGTTCTTAAAGCAACATGCCTGTGAAGGGAAACATCAAACAGCAAAATCAGACTTGAAATTCTATTATTTAAATTTACAATGAAATAATGACATATTGTCCAGTATCAACTCTTAAACACAACTTTCATGGACTCATGATGTTCCCAAACACTATAAATTCCAAAGTGGCATTTTTGAGAATTTATCAAAGTAGACAGAAAACATTGAAAACACGCATGCTATATGATTCTTCCCTGAAACTATCAAGCTTATAGATTACTTAAGAATATGTCCATTATTTTTAACAGAAATTAAATCGGTACCCAGAGAAAAGCAGTTCTTACCTCACCTTCAGATATTTGCCAATAGCTCTTACAACAGTAACGTAGAAATAGCTGAAGAAAATAATTTAAATATCTTGGCTTAATCAGAATTGTTATTGGAGATAGGGATAGGAGATCCATGCATTTTCCCCTCTGCTCTATTTCTATCCTATGGCCTACTTCATGGATACAGTATAAATCAAAAGATTAGGAAATTACAATTATAGCTATTTCTACATTAGCTTCACTTCAAAAAATATTTAAGTAATACATTGGCTTCATTTTTGACATTTAAAATTTTTCTATATTATTTCACAATACTCTCTACTGCTCAATTCTCTTCAGTACCCAGCAATCAACCCTATTAAAACAAAAACAAAAAGCTATTCCTCCATTTAGCCAGCAGAGGGTGGTATTAGATGCTGAAAGTCAACAGTATTGCACCCAATAACATTTATTTTTATACTTCAACTGGGAACCCAGACACACCATCTCAACTTTCCTTAATAAATGTGCTTAGAAATGTCCCATCTTATTTTGCCCATATAAATTTGACTTGTAGAGCCCAGATTAGTGTTAATGCTTCTCATCTGTAACAAATGTTCATTATTTTTTCCTCTATTCACTCCATCAGAAGTATCTTATGAAAGAAAAGAAAAAGATAAGTAGTAGAATTGGGTTCAACCATCAGAAAGACTTTCCAAAGCCCTAATTTTTCCTTGGATTAAAAAAACCACAAAAACCCTACATAAACTTTGCAAGCTCCATTAGAAAATCCCAATGAATTCTGAAGAAAACAGAACTAAACTATAAAATAAAATCTCTCTTCAAAATTACATGACATCTGTAAACTGTTTAACTCATACTTTCCAACTGCTCTGTTAAACATTTTCTGTTTCTCATTATATATTAGAAGCTACAAACTAATTTTTAAAGGTATAGTTCCTGTTATCACAGCATTATTATATTTCTTATAAGCATGCAGTGTTGTGACTAACAAAGTTCTCATATAAGCTATGGATTCTATATTTTACAATCTAGCCCCCACTTAGTCTGAAAAGGCATGAGCAGCAATTTGCCTGATTTACTCTAAAAATAAATATTTTACTATCTAATTAACAAAATAATTAACTTCCACAAATTTATCTTGACTGAAGATAAAACTTTTCTAGGCTTCTCTGAAGCTATTATACCACAAACATTAAGTTTATTAAGTTAATTATGGCAAAAATACAATATAAATCAGATCTAAAGGCTCAAAAAGTGATCTCTTTTTTCATGTTCCCAAACTTGCCACTAATGACTAAAGTATTAAATTTTGCCAATAATACTAAAGTATTAAATTTTCCAAAGAGAAAAAAATGCTCATTTTTCTTCTTTAATCATCATTTAAAATAGAAAATTATTGCTTCTTTTCTTTAAAAGAGAATTCTACTTCTGGTCGTAAAAGCAAGTTTTGGGTTCTTCATTGAAAGAAGCTGCTCTATGAAATCATTTCTCATACTTGAATGTGGCAGTTTCTTTCCTCATGTAACAACTAACAATAGTAAGGCAAAATCATATTTTACATTTCAAAATAAAGTATATCTCTTCAAATATTATTCTTTGATGAATTTTATATCTTTGATTCCTAAATTGATATCTTCTCTGTAATATAAAATGAATACTTAGGTTTTTTTCCTCAAATTAACATGGAATAAGCATTCAGAAGAAAACTAAAAAGTTAGTTTTGTCAGTCATTTGCTTATCCTTTTTGCCATTTATCCACACATTTTGCAATATGTAGATAATATTTTTTTTCATCTAACCACTTAATTCCAGTTTACTTTTCAATTCTGAGTTTGGTACCTGGCACAGGCTCTCCTGAATTATGTCTCACTTGGTGTTTTTCAGTTTCCCCAGGTTCCTCAAGACTACATCTAAAGGCCTTATTAGTCTCAATTCTATTTGTAGCTAAAAAAAATTTTAATAATAATATTTGGGGAGAAAGGGAGATTGGATAACTGGTGAATAGATACTACTTATTTAAAATCCTCCTTTTTACTTTTAGCAAAAGAGCCTCCATACATTTTATGCTCTATTTGAATTGTCAATACTTTGTATGTACAGTAGTCCCTCTTTATCCACAGGGTGTATGTTCCAAGACCCTCCCTGTAAATGTCTGAAACCACAGATAATACTGAATCCTATATGTACTGTTTTTCCTATACATTCATACCTATAATAAAGTTTAATTTATAAGTTAGGCAAGAAAGTCACAATAATAATTAAATAGAAAAAGTATAACAGTATCCCAGCATTACTACTTTTGTGCTATGGGGCCATTTTTAATCAAAATAAGGGTTCCTTGAACACAAAAACTGTGAGACCACGATAGTCTATCTGATAGCTTGGACAGCTACTTATTGACTCATGACCAAGCATCATACACAGCATGGACACTCTGGACAAAAAAGATGGTTCATGTCCTGGATTGAACAGAGAGAGATAGTGTGAGATTTCATGTGCAGAATGACACATAATTTAAAACTTATAAGTTAGTTATTTCTAGAATGTATTATTTAATATTTTCTGGCCACAGTTGATTTCCAGTAACTGAAACCACAGAAAACAAAACTGCAGACAAGGGGAAGAGGGCCTAATTGTATCACTTCCTTAAACTAATGCAGTGAGCTCACAATAGGTCATATTCACACAAATGAACAAGTATAGAGCAAGCTCTGACACTCATATACGTAAGGTACTATAAGTTTGAGATACAGTGGCATATGCAAAAGATTATGTCCCAAGGGCAGCTGGAAATGCAGAATCCAGGAACTATAGAGAAAAATCAAGCCTAGAATGAGTCAAGTCCAAGATTAATCATAGAAGGAGATAAAGCAGCCAAGGATAGTATTTTACAAAACAAGTATAGTGAAGAATAGGAAGGGAAGAAAAGCCATTAAAAGAACAGTGAGAAGCCGGGCTCGGTGGCTCAGCCTGTAATACCGCGCTTTGGGAGGCTGAGGTGAGTGAATTGTCTGAGCCCACGGGTTCGAGACCCGCCTGGGCAACTTGGCGAGACTTCATCTCTACAATAAATCAAAAACTAGCCCGGCGCGGTAGCGCACACCTGTAGTTCTGGCTACTCGGAAGGCTGAGGCGGAAGGATCGCCGGAGCCCAGCAGGTCGAGGCTGCGGTGGCCGGGAGAGGTCACTGCACTCCAGTCTGGGCGACAGAGTGAGACTCCAACTCAAAAAAAAAAAAAAAAAAGAACAGTGAGAAACACAAAACAAATGGGGTTCAGATTCAAACTCTACTTCACCCTCCTTAGCCTCATCCACAGTGACTCCCATTTGCCTTGTTTTCGCATGCTGTAAAATGAGACCTATAAAACTTCTATGAAGAGTAATAAAATTACACATGGAATAGAAGTACTAAAGAATTTATTAATAAGTTATTGTTATCTTGTGGAAAGATACTTTTCTCTTTGTGGAATTCTGCTTTTCCAAACCAAAATGCCGTTGAATTTTAGAAGGCTGTTGTGAGAGATACCAAATAGACCGCCCATCTACTTTTAAAATAGATAAGGAGTCACTTTGTTCACACATTTTTATTTAGCAAATTGAATCCATTTCACCAAGAGAAGTCATCTACTCCACCCATGATAATAATTTATAATTGAATAACAAAAAAAACATGGTCCTAAAATAGAAGAGCTTTAGAGGTTTTTTCAAAGTTGTAAAAAATGCTTAATAGAGAACATGAAAGGCACACTAACACATACGGACAAATTGTGTCCTTTTTAGAAGACTGGGTATGGGATGGTTAAAGGATAGAATACTGAACTAAAAGCAAAAGAATGACAGTAAGAAAAAATAGAAACCTCTGAGTCTTGTTCCCACATAGGACTTATGGAGTTGTGCCAACCTGCTTCATTCCAGAGCAGAAAGCCACTCAGTCACTGAGGCTATATTAGAAAGAGAGGAAGGAAATCCTTTTCTCCCACACGCTCTGTTTCCAAAGATAATAACAGAAAACTAGAGTGTGATAGATTTCACTACCAAGTAGCCATGTTTATTTTACTTGTTTTCCTCTTTGTCAGGTCTACTGATGTTGCATAATAGAGCAAAATAAATATATGAAAAAAATCAACTTTGCAAAAATTATAATATCCCAAAGTTGTTCAAAAAATAACTGCCATAATCACTAAATTAAAACTATTAACATCATTCTTATCAGGCCTTCAAGCATATTCAAAAGAATGAAGTTCATGACCGAAAAAGGTAAAATAATTAAATTCAGTTACAAAGGCAATGAATCACAGTTATTTGACTTCAAGTGTGTTTCCAAACAGCCTGAGAAATTCATTCGCATATCCCAAGCTAACCCACTTTTTTTCTCTTGGGTCTTGGGTGCACATAATTAGACTGACACAATCAATCATATTCCCCAGTTCAAAGCACACTGGTAGAACTGGTCCATAAAAAGCCTGTTTTATTCTTTATTGTCATAGTCTACATCCTCCATCCTCAGGTCCATTCCTTTCCTCCTTCTTACGGTAGCTAGTGAGTTCCTTTCCAATCAAATTTCTTTAACTTTCATTTACATACAATGTATATCTCTACAATAA